GGGGGGGAGGGGGGGCTGCTAGCATGGCATATGCTAAATCATGTCTAGAATTAGTGTTTTGGTGTTTTTGGGTCGTGTTTCAATCAACAAATTTTCGAAAAATGTGCCTGCTGCATGTTAGGAGACTGTAGTGTTTTATCGTACAATCTCGAACGGTCGGTGTGTTATAACAAACGGCTACGGTGTGTGGAGGAACAACTTCCCGAAAAATCTAAACAGAACTTGTTTCGAACGCACGTTAATATTTTTCAGGTAGTTGAATCTCCTACAACCGCAGCCTAGTGTTTTATCAGGTATACAGTAACTTGCTACAGATCTCTTGAAGTATTTTACTGTAATTACCAAGGAATTAATTGGCTCAAATCCATAATTTATTTACCCATAACCTATACATGGCATTAGCCTAGTATGTATACATGAACTTGTGGTTAGAGCTCCACAACTGGCCTCTGTAGCTCAGTTGGTTAGAGCACTGCACCGCAGTGAATCGCAGGGCCGCAGGTTCGATTCCTGTCAGGGACCTAAAGTTTAATTTTTTGCCGCTGTTCCTGGTTTGGTCTAAAAAATGTATATAAATTTCTACTCGATAATTTCCATCAACAATACCCTTCAATGAACTCGTCCGCAGGCCGTAACAAATTCCCGAATTTCGTAAGGCAGAGTGCGCCCGTTTGCAGGTTGGAAATTAAAATTTAAAAGGAAGGGCCTTTGTTCCAAAAGTTAGGAAGTAAATTTTTTCTGTTTAAAATGGATGTCAAGAAACCGTCCACAGAATTTTGTGTTCGTGGCTGCAGCCAACACTAGACTCCCACAGTTTCATAATATATACTAGTGTTTTAAATTTTAAATCTAATTTCTGTATCAACAAAAACATTTTTTTTTCTAATTTATTTGCTTATGTTTATCCCGATTTTATTACCTTTAGGATATTTTCTTTACGTTTTGATTTTCTTTATAGAGATTACAGATGTCCAACCTTCGAAAATAATTTTAGGGTAGAAATTAAATTCCACTCACTTTGAGGCGCCGAAGCTAATTAACAAAGTATTGGGCCTTCCAACACTTTCAAATTGGCTACTACAGAAAGCCACGTACCTAATTACCTTGGCGGCTAGTTTGCTTGATTTGCTACCATATATTTTTATTGTTAATTTCAGGTGTGCAGTGGTGTCTTGAAGAGTCTGTTAATTCTGAACTCCTAAAGTTGGTTATGGAAGAAGTAGCAGAACTTCGTAAATCTGTTGAAACGCGTGACACAAAGGTTTGAGGAACTTTCTTTTTTGGCCTAATAATCGTTAGATAAGTCGTATGAAAAATTGATATGAATATGAAGTGATACTAGAAATACATGCATGCAACAATCCCTCACTCACATTTTCCAAACATTATTTCAACATGAAGTATTCTTAATTACGCCAACACTGAACGCAGGCTCGGGTTGCTCGCTCCATGTTAGCCATGGCAACACGACCAATCGGTCATTACCTCGGGTCGGTACGACACCGAGGTCATAAATTCGGCTCCTATTTTTTTTAATTTTTTTTTTTATTGTTTTTCATTTGTGTCGAGCCGCGCACGTAGTCGAAGGAGCCTGAGGAGGAGATGACAACTTCCGGTAAATAAGTGTACTTCCGGATTATTTCAAGCATCGGCCAAAGAGAAACGGACCCGAAGCTGTCCTTGCACAAAATCCGTCAGAATTGTTGATTTAAAACCAGAAGATGTGATAATTTTGACATACATGTTTAGCTGGACAACTATTCTCGAGTATATGTTGATATAATGTACAATACATCGTATGCATAGCATGGGAATACCGCGGCCAACTTTCACTTGGTATCTATTATAATTACTGACCCGAATCAAAAGTAATTATTTTCGGCTGGAAGACTACTGTACGTTGCTGCTTGTCGGGACCGTATGACAATGAACCTATCCAACGTTACACTAGACATTTGTGAGGACATGCATATAGACATAACCATAGGCACTGTAGTGCATTGTGATAGAACAGATTTCAGTTTAATTAATCGCCCTAAATTAATATCTCCACAATTTACATATTATCATTAATGATAAGGTTTACTCAAATAACGTATTGGATAAACACGGGAATAGAACTTATGGTGTATTCTGCACATGCGTATATCTAGGATAAAATCCCACAAGCGCAAACGAAACTATTTCTCTATAAAATTGAACTGAAAAGACTCACAGCGACCGTTTCCAACCGTGCTTCAGGCACCCGACGACACCGTATGGGGGGCCTTTAGCACTGTCACCTTCTCATCTTGGGATGTTCACGTTATCGCGTGTACATGTCAGGGTGACGAAGATGCATTATTGCTAATAATGCATATGTCTGTGTGCACTGATGCACGCTGCATTATTTTTAATAATGTTGCGTGCTATTTTAACGCGTACATAGAATATGACGGGTATAAACATTTACCCCTGAGCCGGAATTTCCCTATACAACCAAAAAGGCCGCTCCCGTTTTTCAGTAGAACGTTAAATGAAAACTTCTCGACATTCGCTGATATAATGCAGAGAGAAAACAATAGGTTTGATGAGGCTAGGGCCAGTAATTATTGTCAATAAAATATTAAAACGGAGCTTTGATTAACTGATTCACCATTTATACTAGTGAACTATTAAACTATCGTGATTTACACAATTTTTGGATATTTACCGGACGATCCCCTATCCACCGACCCGAGGTTAACGCCGAGTCGGCGTCTTGTTGTTTTTAAAATGTTTTTGCAAAAAACGGCAAAAATAAAGGAATGTTTTACACTTTAACCACATAACTACCGATTTCTAAAATATAATAGAAATACATGCATGCAGAAACCCTCACCTTACTAGCAAAACCACTATATTTTCCAAACAAGTATTTCAAGTGGTTGTCATTGAACACGCGATCATGCATATTACGGTACTACTAATTACTGCCCGAGACTGCCATAGACTACCCGGGTAAACATAACGTTATTTATTACATGGTAAGGCAGTGTGATCTTGTTTTAAATCGCTGAGTATACATGTATAAAAAGTTTTTTTCAAAACATTTAGCATGCTCCGTTGCTTGCAGCCATTGACCGGCTTTTCCGCCGAACTTCGTTTTTGGCTCACGGATGTTGCGTCTTTGTGGTTACTCGAGTGGGGCAGTTAAACAATGGGAAATGGTTAAATATTCCATTTTATTGTAATAACGAATGGAGGAAAAATGATTGGATTCGATCAGGGAAACTATACAGGGTGTATCAGAAAAAGTACACAGTTAGAAAAAGTTCACTAAAGTCAGATGCGCGCGAAATTTAATTGCGAAATTTTTCAGTAAGCGTATGTATTTTAACGTTCTCTGGTAGCGTTTTTAGAGCAGGATAGCTGTTACTAAAAAAAGGCCTTGCAAACATTCCAGCATGCATAAAATTATTATGTAGACCATTACAACCCAATACTTTATTACATACAAGGGTATTACAATGCCAATAGATTATTGGTTACAACTTGCGGAACGGCTCCCTCGAGATTACACCCGGAACGGCGTTCCGTTGACTCGGGGGAAAAAATTGTTGCTCAGAAATCATTGAATGAATTTAAATCATTCCTTGATTTTATACGTACATTTTATGATTACGTTTTGCCAAGACTGTCGGAAACGGCGGGGATGGGGCTAGGTCCCTCCCAATAATTTCTTCATCTCTGGTCGCTCTTCTTCATAATTAATTTTTTTGGCGCAGGCTATTACAATTAACTCATCTTTAATAGTTTATCGTTGCATTGATATCATGTGTATACATAATTAGGAACAAATAACAGCGTTCATAGAGCTAGCGTTGTTTAAACTGGGGGATGAGATTGTAAACAGTTATAAATTGCCTTACAAAATCTTGAATTTTAAGTAAAACTTCACAACTTTCTCTTCGAAAATACGGGAAACGCTCTTCCGAGGCTTCAAGATAGCAACATTTTTGCCATGCCCCAGCCTCCCTCCCCCCCCCCCTCCCAATTTGATCCCTCCTCCAACAACAATTTGCATACTGTGCACTACTGATTTTTAAAGGAATATGGCCATATAAATTAAGTTTGTCTTATTTGAAAGAACATTTCTATGATATACAAACTTATAATCTTTACAATTACTCCGTATCTTGCTTGGTTTTCGAAATAAATGAGTCCCACATGAAGAACACGTTTACCCTGCTTGTGACGTCATAAAAAATCTAGTTAATTAGGTCAACTATAATACCAAGTTGGTGGACTGCACATTCTTTGGTCAAAATATTTCGAAAACCAAGCAAGGTACGAAAAAGTCGTAAAGGTTCTTCATGTATAACTTTAAAAGTTCTTTCAAATAAGACAAAGTTAATTTTGATTTCCTTCAACATTTATAGTATTTGCAATGTATTTGTATTAGCTGAAGCTAGCGTCTTACGTACCTACATAAAACTCGAGTTTTTACAGAATTTTTTAAATAGGAAAATCGTTATAAATAAACCTAAAAGTGGTAGAGCTCTGCAAGAACTGTCACGGCATATTTGGAGTACAAGCTGTGTTATGTTATTGACCTAGTGAGGGGTCCAGACACAAACAAAAATAGAACTAAACTATTATAAATAGCTTACTGCCCATATGGGGGGGGGGGGTGAATAGGTTTTCGTATCGTTGGATTTCACAGAAAAATTGTTCGGATTTCGGATCTGGCGAATATTTTACACGGTTTGCGGATCTTATTTAATACAGCGGATTGCGGATTTAGCTTCCATTAATTTAGTTCGGATCCTGGATTGTGACTTCAAATTTAGACAAGACCATTGTCGGATGCGGATTTTGCTTCAAATTTGGGCGTATCGGCGGATTTTTACACCCCTATTCACTCCCCCCCCCCCACCGCCATATGGAACAAACTCAATCAATAAGACATAAGTTATTTATTATATAGCTAAAAACAATAAGACTTGAAATCGACAACAAAAACATTGGAAAATTTACCGTGTCCTTATTATATCCAGTTATGCCAACAAAAACTTATTGAGAAAGTTCTTTAACCATGCAGCAGTCCCCCTTTTCCGTATCTTACGTTTAATTTTCCTTGTTTTGAGTATTTTGAAAGACTTTTAGACAACAATATTTTGTTTGAAACTCGGCTTTCGTCGTCGCAGCTTCGTAGGGCAACAAAAATTCCGTATTGCCCGTGGGCAATACGGGAAAACCCTACCTCGCCAGCAGGAAATCGAATTGCGTGATTCACCAAAATAAATGCTTGCCATAATAATTACAATACTTGTATCTCTGCAGATGACTGAGATAAGTGAAGTGCTAGATAACTTTGGCAAAAAGTTACGTGATATGCTCTGCAGGACTGAAAAGCTTGAAGAGCTTGCAGCCGAAAACTCAAAGGGAGTTGAACGTAACTCGCAGGGAGTTGAACGTAACTCGCAGGGAGTTGAACGTAACTCGCAGGGAGTTAAACGTAACTCTGAGGGAGTTGAACGTAACTCACAGGGAGTTGAACGGAACTCGCAGGGAGTTAAACGTAACTCTGAGGGAATTGAACGTAACTCGCAGGGAGTTGAACGGAACTCGCAGGGAGTTGAACAGAACTCGCAGGCAGTTGAACGTAACTCGCAGGGAGTTGAACGTAACTCGCAGGGAGTTGGACGTAACTCGCAGGCAGTTGAACGTAACTTGGAGAAACTTGAACTTCTTGAAAAAAAGCTCAGGATGGAGGAAGATCATGGTTTTCAACAGTTTTCAAAAAATAAAGGTATTTATTTGTTCACACTAAGATATGAATTATTTATAATGCATTCTCCTGCAGAACACCATGGGCAGCATGGATAATTGTATATTTCCATACTATGGATACAGTATCGAAATATTATGGATACACTATGGATTTAGTGGTGCAATTGTAAATTTCATAGTATGGATTTCACATTTTTTCCCAATAAAAAGCGCACAACAAGCCCAATATTTTTTTAATTCGTAGGGCCAAAACCCTGTTGCCCAAGGTTTGGGACTATAGGGCATTATTCCATGCCTGCATGCGTGTTGTCGATGATTAGATGTGACTGACTGACCGACTTCATCACTGACAAACTAACCAACCGACTTCATGACTGATCAACTGACTACCCACTGTTGGCTCATTGTCTGACTAACTTCCTAATTGTCCAACTGCCTGACAATCTTCCTGACTGCTTTTGAATTGTTGCCTGACCGATTCAAATATATAATCTTAAGTTGTTATGGATAATCAAAATCCATGCTATTTCCAATAAAGGTCCATACAATTTCCATTCTATGACATTCTATGGATTTTCAAAACATTTTCCAGTGTTTTTATGCAGTCTTTTATCAGATTCGTACAAGTTTGTTACTGAGAGCTTGCTAACAAAAATACAGGACATGACAAGTTGTTGGATGAACGTGAAACAATCACAAGCCTTCTAAGTCATCGACCTGTTGCTGCAGACTTGTGACAACTTGTTGTTCACACGATTTTCGAGCAAATAAAATTCGATATTTTAAAGGCACAGTTCAGCCTTTTGAATGATGGTTTGTAAAGCGCATTTCAGCCCTTTTAATTGAAAAAACTAACTAGGAAAATCAATTAATAATTCAAGATCAGCAAATTACTTAATGTTTTTAACATTTTAAAAATTTTTACTGTTAAAAATATTGAGTTTACTGATATTGAATTATGCATAATTGATTTTCCTAGTTAGTTTTTTCAATTATAAGGGCTGAAATGCACCTTAAAAACCATCATTCAAAAGGCTGAACTGTGCCTTTAAATCTCGGATCCTTTGCGTCAGATCTCATAGAAAAGTTCTAGTGAAATTGACAGATAATTTAGACCAAGCACCGTTTATAGAAAAGTGCACGGAACGAACATTTGTCTGCGGAAGGTTGTGATATTTTACACGATTTTACCGCAACAAGACGTTCGCCCGTCGGATATTTTTTTAAACAATCGTACAAAATTGTTTAGTCTCTCCCAATAAGTTATCGAAATTGAAACACATTATCATGGTTATTTTGTTCACGAAATGATCTGATTGAACGCATACGAGTTTAACGACAACATCAGTGTTTTAGGTGTCTAGGGAGCTTATATAGCGCGTAGACAATTTTGTAGACAAAAAGTAGACAAATCCGTTCCTTTCATGAAATTTTTGATAAATATTGATTGTTTGGGTACTTAAAATGTAGAATAAATTTACAAAAATGTTTTGTAAAGATAAATTTTCCAGAGCAGGGAGGGTTTCTTGGTATTTTGACGAGATAAATTTTCCAGAGCAGGGAGGGTTTCTTGGTATTTTGACGAAGTTTTGACGAACATTTTGACCAAATTTTCAACGGCCTGACACCATTAAATAATTCGAGATGGAAAATCTGAGTGCTTGTGACGTGATGTTTTACACGGTGAATAGTTCGCGCGAGTCCAAATACTTATTTTTCTTTGCGCTTTTGAGTACTACTAATTAGTTGACCAAGTAAACCTCAATACAACATTTCCCATAGTAGAATCAGGGACCGCGAATCGATTTTACGATTAGGGATTGGGGGGGGGGGGGAACGCTGGTGTCGAGATGAAGTAAGTTGGTGGACCTTCTTCGTGGAGGGGTCTGGGTTCTGCAACGATAGCATGGCCAACTGAGCATGCAACTATTAGTATTTGTTCTAGTTCTAGTGTGCCAATTTCCCAAATCAAAGTCGAAAGGGCAACCCCCGCCTTCTGGGAATCTGTGAAAAACTTTAAATATTAATTCAAATGAAAAAATTATTAAGAGATACACTAGCTTTCTGCCATCAGTGCCATGCCTTCATTTGGTGTGGATAAGTGGACCAATTATTAACATGATTGGTCAGGTAGTTAAAGTGTAAAAAAAAACAGGAGGTTTACCTGTTAATTCGTGCTATATTGCTCAACGCTCAACAATAATTTGGTTTTCGATACATTCGCACTTTTATCTTTTCTAATTTCGTTTAAAAAGTGACCAACTATTTTGACCAAATGCTTTTCATTTTGACCAACTTCTTTAACTTAAAGAGTCATTGTCAACCACGATGCATTTGTTTACATCTTACCTTCGGAAGTGACAAATAACAACAAATGACGATTATAAACATTTATTTGGTGCAATTTGAGTATAAAAACAGTAAAATGAGCTAGTATAACCGTAGGATGGTAGTAATATATTATGGATTGGAAACCGAAACATCTAGTATTCCGCCATTAAAATGGGCGCCAAGCAGGTTTGGGCGCACAATGCATTGTGGTTGACAATGACTCTTTAAAAATTATCGACCCCCCAACACACACACACACACACCGGGTAGCGACGTCACTGTGTCAAGAGTACCAGACAATTTGATGTTGCATTAAGTCCAAGGTGCGACCTCTGAAACCTTTTGTAAAGACAATGTAAGAAATCAATCATGCATAAAATCAATCAGCCATAAAATTAATTATGCGTGTAATGCTACTATGGCAAAAATTTCCAATTTGTAGACGTCGGACTTAATGTCCATCAAATTGTCTCATGACTGGTATTTTGATAGTTCATAAAACGCATTCCAAATTTGGACTCTTTGAATTCAAAATGCGTTTTAAACTTTACATTTTTGTCCACAAGCCATTTTAAAAATGGTTTTGAAAAACAGCTCGGCTACACTCGAAAATTTACTTTTCAGAATAAATTGGTGATACAGATACCAGAAGAGAAAATTTCAGAAATGAAAGGGCAATCCAAAACCAATAAACCAATATTTTAGTTCAATTTTCTTTCTGTAGTAATTAAGTATTAGTAACACTGAGCAGATAAGAATGGCCCTTACTGGACGTCCAAAGAGAGCAGATTAGAACTTATAGAACTATATTAAGTATAAATAAAGTTTTTTTCTTTAGGTTTCTTCCTGTAGTAACGCTGCATAAAACTGGCCCCTACTGTACGTCTGGGGAGAACAGTTTAGAACTGATAGACTTAATCAGTAAATACAGTTGGCTCAGTTTAGCTCATCCTGAACTCTCCCATTTTATTTCTTAGTTCCGTATGGATTGCGCAGTCTCCCTCGTGACATGGTAGAACGACCATCAGAAGTGAACGAGATATTGGGGTTACTTATACCGAGCAATAGTAAAGTTGGTATGGTCGGGAGTCGAAGCAGCGACGTTTTTGGTATCCGTGGAATGGGGGGCCTCGGTAAGACCGTCTTAGCCCTGGCTGTTGCTTGGGCTGCCTCAGATTCTCGTCAGGTTATCTGGCTTGACATTGGTGAAACCCCAGACTGCTTAGCATTGATTAACAGCCTCATTAAAGTTCTTGGTGGAGCTGTATCTTTCAGTGATATCCATGCCGCGCAAGCCTGGATAAAAGCAAATACGGTACGTGTGCATTTAATGCTATCTGTACTTCTCATTCAGGCGATGTGAAACAGAACGATTTTCAATAACAATTTGTAATACGTTATACGGAATTTGATTCGGCAACGCATTGCCGTAAGAAACGTCGTTGAAAATTGCCTTGTGTGACATCATCTTCAATAAGTGTGGGGGGAAGCAAAATAAATCATGACCGCGAAGAAATTTTGCTGATTCACGTAAGCTGTAAGTCCCTTTTTCTCACCAAATATATTACACGGCGGCGGCGAAGATATGACTTTTATCTTCGAGTGGTGAAAACAATATTTTACGAACGAGCGCAGCGTGTGAGTTAAAATTGTTTTTAACAGGAGATGATAAATGTCATATCTTCAAGCCACCGTTTAATGTTCCGTTTATTATATAGTCCCAAGCAAAAAATTGTATAAATACTATCGATGTGATCGATATCTTCACTCGTGAAGATATGGAAATATCTCACTGTGTATTTTCAGTATGTCACTCTCTACTATATATTAAAATTAATATATTTAAGATAATTTGAAGAAACATTTTCATAGAAACATTTTACAAACATTTTCATCAAGACGAATCCCAAACTATATACAGCATTATCCATGTTGCATAAGATAGACAACTGCACTCACGC